CCAAGAGCTGGGATTACAGGTGTGTGCCACCACACACAGTCTCAGTATACAGGGTTATTAAAATAGCAAGCTCCTCTAGGATATTCAAACGTGATCTCATACATTGTAACAGATTATATGCAAATTTTAAGCAAGGTATACTTGATAGTAAAAAAGGATCTTACTAAACGATAGACCGTCAGAACATAAACATAAACATCTTAAAATGATTAGTAGGTACGTAATAGGTGTCAGAGGCTTTCTGGATAACTTTTAAGGGTTTTACAGTCTTACCTACGCCAGGCAAGTGCCCTACCGCTGAGTTACAACCCAGTCTCAACATCTGCTCTGCTCCAGCGAGAGGCACACTACCCTCTCAATTACCTGGCAGCTTCAGATGGTAAAGCAGCGTCAAGTGGCCCTGGGGATGAAGCTCAGTCTGAGCACCCCCGGCTCAAAGCTCAGTGCCATGAAAACAAAAAGCGAAGCTGGAGGGAAAAAGAGCCAGCGTGGGAAGCTCCTGGTGGCACTAAGCAGCCAGGCCCCGCGTCCCACCTGCAGCCGCGCGCTTTCTACCAGCTTCATCTTCATGGAGAACCTGCAGCTCTGGATCAGCGAAGTGACGCCCTCCTCGGGCTCATCCCTCCCATCGCTGTGACCTTCATCACCATCCACACTCATGCTGTCATCTGAGACAGGAGCCAGCTTCTCCTCTATTTTGCTGAGAAAGAAACACCTACACAAACAAGGAAAAGTGAGGTACAAGGCCAGTCTCATGAAGGAAATCTTTGGACATCCAGAAAGCTACTCCATAGCACACTCACAAATTCTAGCTCTTAAGGTTTTGCTCATAGTTAAACTGTAAATGCATACTCCAGGCACTGGCTTCCCATCTTATTTTTTTTTTCAATTTTTATATTTATTTATTAGTTCTTTTTACAAATTTTTCTTTTTGAAGAGTAAAAACAAAAGTAAAATCCAATAGTGGAAACAAAGACTGAAACAGGGTAACCTACAACAATACATATGTTACAGATTTTCAAAACAAGAACAGCTAATTAACAATGGTTGTTATATTATTTGTTTTTATCATCAAATCTGTCAGTCACACTAGCAGATATAGCTATGCACGACTGGATGAACAATTCAATATTACCACTTCCTTTCAAGAAACCTTATTTTTTTCCTTTTTTAAACTTTTATTCCTCCTCCTCCTCCTCCTCCCCCCTCCTTTCTCCTTCCCCTTCTCCTTCTTCTCCTCCTCCTCCTCCTTTTCCTCCTCCTCTTCTCCTCCTCCTCCTCCTTTTTTCCTCCTCCTCCTTCTCCTCCTCCTCCTTCTCCTTCCACACCTCATTTTAATAAACCAACTCGAGATCACAAAGGATATCTCAACAGAACTTTTCAAAGGCCATTTAGTGCCTCTGCTTCCAGATGAAGCATTTCAACTCACAGTTTTCTCTATTAATGAACAGGTAACAAACCATGTTGAATTAAAAGTCATTTTTCCTTTATAATAATCTCAGTATAAGATCTTATACCTATGGGACCGGGGAGATGGCTCAGTGGAATAAGCACTTCCTTGCCAAGTGCAAGGGCCTGAGTTCAATCCGCAGTTCCCCCAAAAAAAAAAAAAAAAAGGATCTTATACCTAAAGGCAAAAAAGTAAAGCAATAGAAAGATTATAAATAATTATGGAGCACTTTAAAAGTTATATGTGGGTGGGCTGGGGATATACCTCGGTGCACAAGTGCCTGCCTGGTAAGCACAAGGTCCTGAGTTCAATTCTCAGTACCAAAAAAAAAGTTGCATGTGGGATGTGGGTTAGTATACACTTATGTTTATTTACATTTAAATAATATAATTTATATAAGTATATAATTTTACATTTATAGTTTCATATGATTTTACATCAGTAATACTGATGAAGGTATTTAATATGAATAATATGCATTATTTACATCAGTATACTGACAAAGGTAATACATCAGTAATACTAATAAAAATATTTAACACATAAACTTTGTCACTGATCAATAATCAAGTAAAGTAGACAAGTGTGGGGTGCACACCTACAACCCTAGGACCCTAGGAGGCTGAGGCAGGAAGCTCATAACCTCAAGCTTAGCCAGGGAGACTTATTAAGATCCTGTCTCAAAATAAAAATAAAAATAAAAAGGGCTGGGGATATAACTTAGCATAAAGGTCTTGAGTTCAGTGCCCTGTGTAAACAACACACACACACACACACACACACACACACACACACACACCCCAAGTAATTTTCTAACATCCATTTTTAAGACTGCTTCTAACTCTCTTAGAAACACTACAGCCCACCTCACACCTATTTTTTCTCTTCCCTTCCTCCTTCCCTCTTACCCTTCCTTGTTAATCAGAAGAACAAACAAGTAAACAATGGTATGAAATGGGCACCTGACAGATATTTGAAGTAATGACCAATGAACACATACTGAAGGAAACTCTGCACTCTTCCCAGAGGCAGCTGAAAAGGAGCCCAGGCGGCCGGAAGGTGGCAGGAGAGAGCGCCAGGAAGGCCCCGCCAGCTCAGGACAGGAGCCCACGGACGGCGGCCCACCCCGAGGCCACGTGCCAGGCCGGACTCAAAACGCAGTAGGACGGGGTCAAGACGGACCTGGGATCTGTGCCAGAGAGGCAGGGCGAGCCTGTGCCACGTGCACCGGGCTGCCTGCCTCCACGAGAATTACGGAAGAAGCTGGAAGAAGCTGTGTCTGCACGAGGAGATTCGCAATTGCAAGGCACAACTCAAAAGCAAGGAAAATCTATCCCTTCGCGCGGAAAAGACAGGATAACCATGCGTAGGGATGAGCACAGAAGGACTTTATAGCAGCTACGTGAAGGCTCTTGCTTCAAGAAGAAAAACTCACATGAATAAATAAAAAGGTGAGTATCCCAGGAGAGAAAGAGAAAACATAAAATAACCAAGTAGATTATTTTACAACTGAAAAATGAAATACTTGAAATTAAATATTTATAGACCAGACATTTAACAGAGCAACAAAGCTAACAGGAAAGTGACAGCACACTTGCAGAGAGGTCAACAGCTAGCATCTAATCTGAACAGAGAAAAACAATGGAATATAAATGAACAGAGATTTTAGGGAACTCTGGAACAAAATGAAAAAGGGTCGGTGTATGTGGGGGTCAAATCCCACAGGAATGAAACGGGCAAAACCCATCTGAAGGAACAGTGACAAAGAGCCCCAAATTTGCTCACAGAAATTAATGCACAGACTCAACCTGCCCAGAAAAATAAAACAGTATAAAAATCACAGAAAAGCACACCTAGATCCATCATAATCAAGCTCCTGACACCCAGCGATGACACCAGAGGAACAAATGATGGCCATTAGAAGTCGCTAAGTGTAAGTTTGGCGTGGGCTTCCCGCCTGTCATCTCAGCACTCTGGGAGGCTGAGGCAGGATGTTGTCTCAAATAATGAAAGCGGAGAAGGTACTTAGAGTATGTATGACAGTTTTAAGCAAAAATGTAGTATTTTCTGGCACCTGCCTGGCAAGCACAAGATCCTGAGTTCAATCCCAGGTACTTAAAAAAAATTCTGGTGGTATTTTCATTATATATAACTTTATATAAAGTAACATACACATCAATGTATCATTACTTCACTTTATCAGAAAGAAATAGCATCTATCAATGTATACGAGCCTAATAACAAAACATAGTAAGTAAAAATAAGAGTTAGAAAGAGAAAAGATAATTCCATAGTCATATTAGATCATGAGATCCCTAACTGAGCAGCTGACAGAACTAAACAGAAATATAAACATATATATTTTTTCAAGTATGAAAAGACTTTTGAACACAGGGTAGATAACCGTATACTGATGTAGAAAAAAATTAACATCTCTTACTCCATCACACTACCTACAAAAATTACCTTTTAATGGCTCCAGATCTAAATGTACAAACTAGAACTATAATATTTGTAGAGGAAAACTTTGTAAGATGAGCCTGGTCACCCGCCTGAAGTGAGTGGTTCCCCTAGGCCAAATCTAAGCCAAGACAAATATGAACTATACAAGGACAGCGATGGGTTACAGCCCAGTAAGTAAATTTGAACCTATAATTCTTTACTGGCAGTTTTAAAAGGAAGGAGGGAAGGAAGGAAGGGTTGTTACGCAGAAGATATGGCCTGATAATCAGGGGACACCATCACTGTCCACACTGCATGAGCCAAAAATCATCCAGAGATGCAGCAAAGTCGCAAGAGGAAAAGGACACCTGCCTTTCTCCAAGCTTCTCCCATATTACTTTCGGTATAGTTCTTTTGTTTTTTTTGTTTGTTTTTTTGCGAAACCGGGGATTGAACGCAGGCACTTGTACTTGCCAGGCAAGCACTTATTCTACTGAGCCATCTCCCCAGCCCATTACTTTCCTACTGGTTGCAGAACAAACCAACCAACCAACCAACCAACGAGCCGTCACAGCATTGGACAGTGGACACAAGGCAACATTTTAACCAGGTAGTCAAAATGAATCTCACCAGCAGAAGGGAGACGGGAAGTGACAGCCTGGGAGGAGCGACAGGTATTTTGGCTAGGGGTGGAAAATGTCAAAAATGTTTTTGCAAACTGTTGAATCTACAAAAAAGATATACAAGAGAAGTCTAGTTTTCTTCTAACTTTCCCACAACTTAAAGCTTACCTCAAAATATACTTTTTTTAAAAAAGTACATGTAGAGGAAACAACAGAAGAGTACAATAGCCGGGTCCGAGTCTTGAATCTGATGTCCTAAGGATATCTGCCCCAATAACCCCCACGGTCTCCGACTCCCCACCCCTTCCTGCGTGTGTGGTGCTGTGAAGCACGTGCCCTGTGGATCCCAAGGCTAGCACGGGGAGGCAGGGGCAGGACAGGAAAGGGAGCTCTGACCTCAGCTGAACACAGCTGTGGAGGAGCTGGGTGCGAGGAGGCGGCCGAGGGCAAACACCCAAGTTTCAGTGACAACATAAAAACATGACTATGCAGTACCTTTTTAGCTGTCATCCCACTATCTAAAAGTCAGTCATGAGGCAGCATGAGGGGCTGCCCCCGCCTTTTTCCCAGCCAGTGTGCATTTCTCTCCCATCAGTGCACCCCAATGCTTGCACAGTGAGTGGGCAGCACCCCCTCTTCCCAGATGGTGAGTGGGGATAAAGGAACACGCTGTCGGCCTGCAGGGTGCTGCTAGAACAACCTACTTGGGCAATCAGCAGGGTGAAAGAGGCTCACACCCCACATTTTTCTAAGTATAGTTTGGAAGAAGAATCATTCTGACGAATCTGGAAAAGAACCCACACTTGCAAGAACCGCCCCTCACCGATTTGTGATGATGTCATCCCAGATGTGCAGTGGGTCCATTTTAGCATCTGGGTATCTGTTTGTCCAGGTTTTCAGAAGTCTCTTAAGGGAAGCCTTCGATGATAGATTACCTAAAAATAATATTAGAGGTTGATTTTATCTACAGCTCAATGACAAGACCAACTGACAATGTGGGTTCGTCATTAGTAAGCAAAAATGTAAAAAATTTCTTGTCCAAGTTAAATAAAAAATTATTTTCTTTCACAAAAGGAACATAAGTCACCAAACTAAATATAATACATCTTGACATTTAAACTGAATCACTTTTGAACACCAAAAAAAGACGGAGCAGGTAAGCACATTGGTCTTTTTAGCTCCAGTACAGGTCTATAATTCTGTATCTACAATTTCAAGGCCTTAAATAGCACTGAAAACTGAAAAGGTAATTTTTTTGGAAAAAAAAAAAGTCAGATCAGAATCAGCACAGGGCTACTTAGCGCCTGTTTCTGCCACCAATGTGAATACTCGCAACCTACACCGAAGACCTCACCCAAGCAAAACTGAGCAACACTGCCCAGCCCAGGCTGCATTCTCTACATATCAGACAAGCTGACCTCAAGAGAGCCCAGAAAGGTATTCAAAACAGTCCTCATGAAATTCCTAATTTCACATGGGTAATATTCAGATTTTCTGCCTGATGCTAAAAAGCAGCGGTCAGGGACAGGACCGGAGCTCATGAAGCCCTGAGTTCTTATCTTTCACTTATTACATAACATAAGTCATTTAATCCTCCAGGCCTCTATAATATGACAGGGAAAAACTAAGGCTGTTATAAAAACAAGATGGTAGAGATAGAGAGATTTAAACTACCTACTGAGAGAGAAAGCACTTAATGAATGATAATAATACATAATAATATACACTTGCAAAATATTACTCCAGATTTTCATAATTATTTTCAGTTATTTAGAACAAAAATCAAAACAGATTAATAACTATGACATTTCACCTTTGGAAAGATGTTTCCCTCTGACTTTGACTCTTAGATGGCCCCCACAGACCTGGGGACAATCCCACGGAGAGTGGCACCTCAGCCTTCCTCTCGGGGACACCGCCTCCAGCTCTGCGCTCCCCCAGGCTGGCTCCCAACCCATCCTCCCCCAGAGGCCTCTGGCAGCGCAGCGGCCACTCCAGCCTTCCTGTGGGGGCAGCTCTCCAACACCTTGCTTCCGCCTCTGTCTCTCAGGGCAGGCCAGGCCCAGCGGCTGGGTCCGTAACTGAAGATCGCCGGTTCCCTGAGCTGTGAAGTTACACTACGCTGGACGCTTCCAGGCAGTTTATTTTGGCTCTGCAGTACCAGCCTTATTAATTGTGCCTGAGCACTGGACACGTTTATTTTGATGGCTTCAAGATATGCACAGTATCTACAGAACAAATTCAAGGCAGTTTCCAACCTATATAGAAGACATGTACTTCCACCAAGCAAAAACTCAAGTGTTAAAACTTTTCCACATTAAAAAAAAAAAAAAAGGTTAAAAAGATTACCTTGGTTACTTATAAAGCTGATGAATTCCTGAATTTCTGTTAAAGCTTGAACGGACTGTAACTTGATGAGTCTACTTCTATGTAACAGGACATCAATACTAGAATAACTCTAGAAAAAGAGGCATGCATGTGACATTGTTATAAATCAAATTTACTACTTGAAACTTCTAATGTAGTTCTCTAAAATGTGAAACACAGCAACTGCTCTACAAATACATCACCCACTGTGTTGCAGAGTGGTTGTCATAGAAACAAAAACTGGTTTAGTGTTTTTTAGTAATTTAGGTTTTCAATTATACTTCGATTAAATGAAATCAATATAATCAGGCTATCATTTGTCTGCATTTTTCTTTTCCTGAAGAAAGGCAATGGGGATCGAACCCAGTGCCTTATGGATGCTAAGCACACACTCCAGCACTGAGCTACACCCTCAAGTCAAATAATTATTATTCGCTTTACCTCCCTTCCTTTTTCTATCTGCTAAGCAAGTGCTCTACTAATGACCTCCATGACCAGCCTGTACCAACTTTAAAAAAATCACATCCTATAATGTATAACACCAACTACAGAAGCTTATTTTTTCTTCTTTTTTAGTGTATTAACCAATTAAAACAGCAAAATAGAAGTGAAAATTAATTTACAAGCTCCCCTGAGTAACACCATGTCCATGACAAACACTAAAGGATGTACATAAGACACCTACTCACAAACAAGCTCACAACCGGGAGAAGACGACTCTCACAAAAGCAAGAAGGAATGCAGAGAACGAACCAAGCGAGCAATCCATGTTCTTCACAAAGCAACCAGTTTGGACAGCAACTCCACACAGAAAAGCCAGTTGTCAAGAGTTCTGTGACAATGTGACAAAGGGAACTAAAAAACAAACCGGATGCAGTACATGCCTTGTAACTGCAGCACTCTAGGAGGATGAGGCAGGAGGATTACAAATTCAAGCATAGCTTGGGTAACTTTGTGAGACCCTGTCTCAAAATAAAAGGTGTTGTTTTTTTTTTTTTATTTTTGGCATAACCAGGGATTGAACTCAGGTCCTGGTGCTTGCCAGGGAAGCGCTTATTCCACTGAGCCATCTCCCCACCCCCCACCCTTTTCTTAAATAAAAGGTTTTAAGCAAGGCTGGCATGCAGTTCAGGGAAAGCCTTCAGTCTAATATCCAATATCATAAAAAAAAAGGAGGAGGAGTACGAGGAGGAGGAAGAGGAGGAGGAGGAGGAAGAAGAGGAAGAGGACGAGGAGGAGGAAGAAGAAGGAGAAGGAGAAGGAGAAGGAGAAGAAGAAAAGAAGAAGACAACCAACAAATAATTTTTTTTTTTAAACATTTCAAAATATGTGGCTGGGAAGATGGTTCAGTAGAATAAGCACTTCCCTGGCAAGGGCAAGGGCCTGAATTCAATCCCCACGTCTGCCAAAAAAAAAAAAAAAAAAAAAAAA